GAAATATTTAGCAAGGGATATCCAACTACACAAAATAGGTCTTTAAGAACTTTTGGACTTAAAAAACCGTCACTCGAACTTTTATTCTTTAGGCTGCTCACTATTTTTTGTAACTGGCTGAAAGTGATTTCTTGAAATTTTGCTAATTGTTCTTTCTGTACTTCAAGGTCATTTCCAAATTGCAGTAAGCCTTTATCTTCTATACTCTCAGCTAGATCACGAATGCTATCACTGTAATATTTATTAAAGTTTTCTTCAGGTGGTCCGGAATAGCCTTCAAAATTGATTTTATCTATTGGCAGATCTTCTTTCTTCTGTCCAAATAACTGTTTTATTGTTTGCCACATCTTTTTGCTATCTCCTTTGGATTTGTCAATTTTGTCTTCGTAGAATAATTTCTTTTCTCGGCGTAATACACTGACTGCCTGGTTCCTCTTGTTTTTATAATCATTCCAATCCTCCTGAGTACCCGTAAACTTAAATCTATTGTACGCTGCGTTTCGTAATTTTTGTGCCTGTGTAACACGTATATTGATCCATGGTGTCTGATTGCATTTAATTTTATTAATGGGGCTAATTTTATTGAGAGAGTCTCGAACATTATTTGAAAAATTATTATATAACACCTCGACATCCGTTGATGTTGTTTCCCAATGCTTTCCTATCAAGTCCAATATAATTTTATGTATATTTCCCTCATTAATATTCCTTCTCCAGATAAATTTGTCCACAGATGTATGATTTAAGCCAGGTACATTTATTCTTATTACATCATGGTCTGATATTTTAGGAAAGTTTCTTGGGAGTTCAGCCACGGTGGAATTATTAGTTATAATGTAGTCGACGAGAGTAGCCGATGTTGGAGTAATGCGTGTTGGATTTTCAATAATTTGTTTAAATCTGGAGTCAATTATGATATTCTTTATTTTATTAGATGTACTGGTATTTGATTTAAAATCTATGTTAAAGTCTCCCAAAATAATAGTTTCATCGTCGTTAATAAAATCGTTTTTAAAAAGAGCTTCAAAGTAATTTAAAAAATCATGAACATTTCCGTTAGGAGAACGATATACTGCTCCAATAATCAACACTTTTCCATTTATTGTAATTTTAATAATTAATGCCCAATAATTTAAAGTAATTGCAACACTATGTAGAATAGAGAAGTTTACATTTTCATTTAAGTATATGACGACTCTTTGATTCAACTACAATGTGGTTATAATTTAATATTTTATACTCACTTTCATCTATGTCGTCAGTGATATGTGTCTCTGTAACAGTTGCTAGTAAAGGCTTCTCGGTAAAAAGAAGTGTACGTAGCTCATCAATGTGTGATGTTAATCCTTGGATATTAAGGCAAATTATTTTTTAGGTTCCGGTATAGGTTTTTGATGGTTGCTATATATATATTGAGTTTTTGATTTGGCTTGATCAATTGCTCTTTTATAACATGCACATTCTTTGTCAAAAACACAGTGATCGAACTTTATGCCTGGAATTTTAAGAATATCATGTGCGTGTTTACAGTTTGTACATATTTTACTTGAAGACTGACACTCTGAGCTTTTGTGGTTGCCATTACATTCAGGACAAACTATTCTGTTTGAGGTTCAATGTTCTGCTTTGTGATTATAACGCCAGCATTTAAAACATCGACGTATACCAACATATTCATATACGGGATGACTTTCCCACCCTATAAATATTTTTCGTTTATGGATGAAATGCTGGAAAATTTCTGGCGATACTTCCAATATTATATTGTAGTTACGTTTGTTTTTGGGAATATATTTTTTTATGAAGGTTAATTCTAGAGTGGTTTCTTCAGAAAAATTTTGTTTTCTAATACAATTTAAAAATTCATTTTCATCATCTAATTTCGTTTCTTTTACATCGACGATTAAAATTTTTGGTTTCACTATTTTTGGTACTTCCACCCTGTATTTATCTAGTGGTGGAGGTTGTCTCCAACAGATATAAATAGCTGTGAACTAAAAAGTCCCATTGGAAGTTTCATTAAAGGCAAACCCTTAAAAAGCGTTGTGTTTCCTAAAGAACTAAAGGAAAAATTTACGTTAATAAGAAATTTAAAATTGCGTGCTGATAAAAAATCATGAAATTTGTTCCAAAGAATTCAAACGAAAATATGACTGATGAAAAACCGTTTAAATGTGACAACTTTTAAACGAAAACTCGGCCTACATGAACATTTAATAAGTCACATTGATGAAAAGCCATTTCAGTGTGAATTCTGTTCCAAAAAGAAAAAGAAAAATAGAACGAAAGTCTGACCTACGTAAACATTTTTTAATTCACGTTAAAGCAAAGAATGGACCTTTTGAAACAATTGGTTATACTTAATTAGAATTAATTTAAGTTTCTAAATTTAGAAGAATACGTTAGATATGCCGATACTGTATTGAATTATTTATTTAGCAGCAAAGAATCTTGAAAAAGCAGATTTTTCGCGAAAAACACAATTGCAACTGAAAATTTTTCCTTTACAGATTTCCATTCTTCTAAATCAAGATCGAAACATATCAATAGACATTTTGGTAAACGCTGTGTAGTTTGTAAGTTTTGTGGAAGAAGTATGAATAGAATTGAGTTTTTGTGGCACTATTTTATTCATGTAGTGCGAAATAGAAGTCGAGATACATCTCAGACAACCATCGAAATTTCCAAACTTGTATCAGAAAGTTACAATAAAAATCACATTAACGATAAACCTATGAATTGTGATTTTGATTATAAAGAATTAAAGCAAACTCACAATTTTTCTACTAGGGATACAAAATTACAAGATGACGAAGAACCATTTAAGTGCGATATTTGTTTTAAAACATTTAAATATGAAATGAATTTACATAATCATTTAATAATTAATCCAAACGAAAAACCATTTATGTGTGACGTTTGTTCCAAAATATTTAAGCATAAATGTGGTTTACAGCAACATTTAATAATTCATACTAATGATAAACTATTCAGGTGTGACATTTGTACAAAAAAAATTAAGTGGAAGTCTAATTTAAAAAAACATTTAATAATTCACACCAACCGAAAACCGTTCAAGTGTGATATTTGTCCCAAACAATTTAAAACTAAATCGATATTAAGTGATCATTTACTAATTCATTCCAACGAAAAACCATTCAAGTGTGACATTTGTTCTAAAGGATTTGCCCGAAAATGTACCTTACGGCAACATTTAATTACACATTTTTATAAAAAACCATTCAAGTGTGACATTTGTTCTAAAGAATTTACCCGAAAATGTACCTTACGGTATCATTTAATCGCACATTCTAATAAAGAACAATTCAAGTGTGACATTTGTTCTAAAAGATTTACCCGAAAATGTACCTTACGGCAACATTTAATTACACATTCTAATAAAAAAATGCATACTAATAATAAACCATTCAGATGTAACATTTGTTACAAAAAATTTTTCAAAAAAGGAAGCCTACAAAATCATTCATTACTTCATACCCATGAAACACAATTTAAATGTCACATTTGTTCCAAAGAATTTAAACAAAAAGGACATTTACAAAATCATTTTGTTATTCACACTAACGAAAAACAATTCAAGTGTGACGTTTGTTGTAAAGAATTTAAACGAAAATATGGTTTACAGACACATTTAATAACCCACTCGAATGAGAAATCATTCAAATGTGATGTTTGCCCCAAAAAGTTTAAACGAAAATCTTATTTACATCGACATTTAATACTTCACACCAGATCTACAATAACTCCTTCATAAATAGAGTGAAAATAGCCACTTGTATCTATTGGTATATCAGTTTAAAAGGAAATTGAGATAAATAAATAACAAGTTCATTTTAAAGTATTTTATTCAAACAGAAAATGTTGTCAGGTACATGTTGAAAAAATCGTTTTCGATACTTCGTAAAATAAAATACTATGGCGCAAAGCCACTGAATTCTTTAGCAGCTGTGTTTTTCAGAGTCCCAGAATTTATAATCCACCTTAATGATAGCCGAGTTGAGTCATCGGAGATGGGTAAATTGAGTCCCGAATTCGTAATCTGTTTCTACAATATTAAAAATAACATGTGACGGGCCGCCCCTGTGCGGATGTATTGATAGTACAAAATTCGCGAGTGTGATGACGTAAGACAGTACGAGATGATTCCTTCCCACCCCGCCGCAGGAACGGCGAGAGGAGATTGATGGTCCGGGAGAGCAGAGAGTTTCTTGACGGTTGATCGAGAATTGTGACGTTTCCCGCAGGTTGCCCTGTGTGGATTTTTAACCTGAATTTATGGTCAAGAGTGACCAATGTTTTTTTTGCTTAATAATTCCAGCCGAGTTGCCAAGACTAAATAAAATTTAGTCTAGTTAGTGTGCCATAGTATTTACATAGTGCCAACGTATTAAGGTATTTACGAAATTAACTTATAGTGCCGCGTTTAATCAAGTTACGTCAATCTGACTGTTACTGACGGTTACGCCCTTTATAAACTTTGTATTAACTATTTTTTTTTTTGGTACCTATTGCTATAATATTCAGCACTTTTGTTTTTTGTGATTTGTTCCACATTATTTCTCTTTTGTTTCATTAAAATTTTATTTTTGACTTACTCGGTGTTTGGATTTACTTAAATTTAAAAGAAATCTTATCCTCAATAAAAAATTAAGAGTCTCAAGTTCACACTCGGTTCACACGCACCAAATCGGTATCCTTCAAACACATTTACAATTATTTTCAATATAAAATATTTACAATAATATACATGCTAAAGTAGTACAGTGTACGAGTTCGTAGAGTAAACACGTTAAATTTAAGCTCCGTTAATAGGTGGTTAATATTAGAGAAAAAGTGTTTTCTTTTTACGAAAAAAGGTGTAGAGTGTTAGTAGACGCCAATACAATTAACAGTATATTCCACATTAAATAACTGTAAGTAATTAAGCTTTTGAATATTTATTGCGGGTGTGAGGCCATTCCGCCACCGGTTAGTTAAATATGTCACAAGACGACGTAGCAGCAGAACACAAAGATTTATTTAAATTAATTTTGAAAGCAAAGCAAGTACAAACGCAAGAAATTCAGGCACAATTTAAAAACACAGTTGAAAGTTTGAGCACAGAACTTAAAGAAGCAACTAGAGAAATCGAATCATTGAAACAAAAATGTAATATTCTAGAGCGGAAATTAAAAGAAAATAATATTGTATATATTGTAAAACATGTCTAGATAGATGTTCGTCATTTGAAAATAATTTATTATTCTCTTGTTCAGTCGAGGTTAAATTATGGTATACTTAGATGGGGCGAAATTCTTCAAATCCATCTGAAAAAAATTGATGTTTTACAAAAAAAAAAATAAAAAATCATTTTAAATAAAAATTAGACTTACTAAATCAGCCGATTTGAGATCTCATTTAACTTAAAATCGGCTGATTTTAGAGAAAAAAGTCATTGATGCTTTTTTGTAGAGCGGACATTTTCCCATTGAAATTTACTTTTGGCAAGCCGAGAAAATATGAAATGCGCAAGTTACAAGCAAAAAAGTAAAAAAAAAGGTCACTTTTTCATTAAAAATCGAGTTTTCTCAAAAACGGCTGCTGGAACCGATTTTAAAAAATATATTGCGCCAATCTATAGCCCTTCAGAAATACTTTGACCGAAAAAAAAGTCTAGTAAATAAACTTTTCATTTAAAGTTGGTTCCCAAGCACCGTGACCTATATAGTATTACTGTTTGCATTGATCACTAAAATAGGCATAGATACTAAACTTAGTCATTAGCTCGTGCAAGACCTCATGTGGTTTTAACAAGCCTACGACAAAGTTTAGTTTTTTCTTTATTAAAAAAAAAATGTATACCAATCTGTAAACTCTTTTGAAAAAACTATAAGAATTTTAGAACAAGACATTGCCCAGTGTGGTATATGTGGATTTTTTTTTATTTATTTCATCTAAGATTTGCAAAATATTTAATGTCAAAATATAAGTACTTACCAAGAATGTTGTGGTTTTGGAAAAATACCTTCATCAAATTTTGGAGATGGACTTTCTGTTTCAGAAAGAGAACGTTTTGTATTTGGTTTTTCTGTTGAGCTTTCCATTACGGTATCATTAGTTGTAGCAGATGTGGTGTTATCGAGAGTTGTCTTGGGATTTAATTATTCTGATATTGATGAGAGAGAAATGACATCGACAACTGACTTCTGTCGGTTTTGTTCTGAAGTTAGGGAAGTTGTTGCTACAAGTGAAGTAGGGTTTAGTTCTTGATTAGAATTATTTGAAATTTTAGTAGTGTTCGTACTTTGTATTTCATTGATTGTGGTTGATAAAATGTGAGTATTCGCGTTTTGAATTGGATTTTTGGATGAATCTGTGTTTGTGGTATGAGGTAAAGTATTGGGACAGTTGCCATTAGTATAATCTTGTTGATTACAATTTAGGCATGATTGACTATCATGTGAGAGAAAAATACGGTATGATGTGTTATCATAATTAATAAGAGTTGTGGGTACCGTATTTTCAGAAGGAGATATGTATACAACACGACGAAAACTTAGAATATGTTGATAGTTGGGATTTGTTGTGCTAATTTTTAGGAATGTAATAGAAGAAGATAATTTTAGTTCTAATTTTAGTAGTTCTTGTTCTATGATATGATGAGGTATGGTTGGGCATACATTTGATAGCAATAATCCTGAATCGTTCGACCAACAATTTAGGGAACAGTGACGGTTTTCTTTTTATTTATTCGCTTTAAAGTTTCTCTTATGTAGACATCTGGTAGTCCATAGCTTCTACACGAGAGAAACCCTTTCTCCGAGCTGTTATAAAGACTAGGGATTGAAGCAGCTCTGATTATCGACGGGGGGAAACAAGCGAATACTTCTATCACCCCCTGGTTAACGCGAAAATGGATGAAGGGTGCTAGTTCCCCCGGATTTAAATCCAATTTGCTTCATTACCCTAACAGATACTAAGGAAATTAAAAGTACAGGTCAAATTCCTTAAGTAGACAATGGAAACGGAAAATGAATGTTGCAGGGAGAATTATTGGACGGACTTTTAAAGTGCCTATCTTGATAAAGTCCTCACAACGGTTTTGGGGCACGAATGTAAATTGCGAAAATCGGTCTCGAACGGCAAAACTATTCTGAAGCACAATATAACGTAAATCGGTGTAGAACTCACAGTCAACAAAAGCTGGGATGGAAGAGAGTGCTCCCATCGAAAACGTCTGCTTTTATCAAAAGTCGCTTTTTGCCATAATGAGGACGCTAGTTCCTACTCCTTTGTTATTAGTTGTTTTGCAAAAAACGTTGGTTGATCGGCATACTGATAAACCTACCAGAATTGAGATTTTAATACATGATTTAATTTATGGTGATAATGAAAAGTTTTAAACTACGAGAGCTCTTGCAAAGGTTTAAAACGGTAATTCTATGGAAATATTAGTTACTGCAAATGTTCATTGACGGAAATTAGTTTTAGAAATTAATTTAGGGAATAAATTAATGGAAATTTTAGTGACTTCGTCACAAATTGGAAGGTCAAAATTTTCAATATAAAATTCAACAGTTTGACCGTAAGCCATTTGCCATAAGGAAACTGTGGATTACGTTAGATATGCCGATACTGTATTGTAGTATTTATTCAGCATCAATGAATGGTGTTTTTTTTTTCATTTACAGATTTCCATTCATCTAAATCAAGATCCAAACATATCGATAGACATTTTAACAGACGCCGTGTAGTTTGTAATTTCTGTGGAAAATGCATGAATAGATTTGAATTTTTACAGCACCAATTTATTCATAAAGTGCAACGTAAAACCCGAAATGTTTCTCAGACAGTCATCGAAGTTTTCGAACTTGAAAGACCAAAAAATCACATTAACGAGACACCTATGAGTTGTGATGTTTATTCTAAAGAATTAGAGCAAAATTATAATTCCAATTATTCAAAATTACAAACCAATAAAAATCCTTTTAAGTGTGATATTTGTTCCAAAACATTTACCCAAAAATCTAGCCTAAATAATCATTTAATTATTCACACTAATGAAAAACCATTCAAATGCGACATTTGTTTCAAACAATTTAATAGAAAATCGGCCTTACATCAACATTTAAAAATACACAGCGGCGAAAAAAAGTTTAAATGTGACATTTGTGGTGAAGAATTTAATCGAAAAATCATCTTAAATCATCATTTAATAGTTCACACTAACGACACACCAATCAAACAATTTATATCTATGGAAACGTGTTCGGTGGAATTTATACAAAAATTTGCCCATATTTCCGAGAATCGATTCCTAATAAAAAAGAATGGACCGCCTCGGCCGGAGATAAATATTGTTCAAGAATGTGCCGTAAAAAGCAGGAAATTTAACCGTAGTTTCAAGATTGATCAATATAAAAAAACGTCGTGGTTGTGCGGCTGTGACAAACTACATGCTTTGTTTTGTTTTCCTTGTTTAGTTTTTGCAAACGATGAAAATGCTACAACAGAATGGACCAAAATGGGCGTTAGGGATTTATCTCATTTATCAGATAAAATTAAAAAACATGGATCTTCTCAAATTCATTTGAAAAATGAATTGAAGCTCTCCGATATTGGCAATGTTGATGTTCTTCAGGTATTCGATTCCAACTATCGAAAAGCAATAAAAGGCTTTAACGACCAAGTAAAACAAAATCGTTGCATTTTGTCCAGTCTTATTGATTGTGTAAAATTTTGTGGTGTATTCGAGTTAGGGCATGACGAGTCATCAAATCCAGGAATATACAAGGGGCTTATTGATTTTGTATCTGAAATCGATGTGGCTATGAAACAACATTTGCAAGGAAATAAGGCTTTTAAGGGTACGTCGAAATCGATTCAAAATGACATATTAGATGCTATTCTAACAGTTTGTCAAGAGGAGATTAAAAAGCAGATTTCAGAAGCACAGTTTGTAGCGATTCAATGCGATGAAACTACTGATGTTCCCATCAACCAGCAGCTTGTTATTATTTTAAGATACGAACGAAACGGCCAAATTCACGAACGTTTTTGGAAATTTTTAAAACCTGCTTCAAATAGTGCCAATGACATAGCTGCAGAAATTAAAAAAGAGTTGCAATCGCTTAATATTTCCGTAAACCAGCTAATAAGTCAAAGCTATGACGGAACCGCCGTTATGTCAGGAAGCGAAGGAGGAGTTCAAAGTATTATTAGAAAAGAATTTCCGTACGCATATTATGTACATTCTTATGCGCATCAATTCAATTCAATTTTGCAAAATAGCGTTTGTGTTAATAAAAATGTCGCCAACTTTTTCGCCAATTTACACGCATTTCCAACTTTTTTCTCAAAATTACAAAAAAGGACTGACGCACTAGGCGACATAGTGAGAAACTGGATTTCAACAAGATGGAATTTAAACACACGAACTGTGAGAACGATTTACGAGAATAAAGAGCGTCTAAAAAATTGTTTAGAAAGTATATTAGATACCAACGGTAATGACTTTAACACAATAAACCAAGCTGAAGCATTGCTAGGTTATTTAAATAATGAAAGTTTCATTTACTGGCTCACATTTTTTGCTCAAGTAACGCCCTACTGTGAAAACCTCTATAAAGAAGTTCAATCTCGCCCTTTGGATGCTGATAAAATGGAACTATGTTTAAACAATTTTGAAACAATCATTTCAAATATTCGTAACTTGGATCGTCCAACTTCACCACCGAAGAAGCGCAATCAGTCAACATCCTTTTCTGCACAAACAAAAGAGATGTGCGACATACTGATTAATCAGGCGAAAGATCGTTTTCAATTCACAGATCATCTATTGGCTTCGAAACTTTTTTACTTCGAGAAATTCGTCGAATATCACAGACATTTTCCTACCGATGATTTTGATACGGTTACGAAAACGTACAACTTTTTTCAGAAAGAAAAACTTAAAAGCGAATTGAGTGTTATATATGGCAGAAAAGATTTTCATCAAGCGGGTATCGCGTTAGTAATTTTACAACTACTGACCGATAGGAATTTGACTGAATGCTTCAGTGAAACTGTCACGTTGTTAAAATTAATCTGTACGATTCCGATGACGGGTGTCGAAAGTGAACGTTGTTTTTCTACATCGCAGAGGATCAAATCTTTACTGAGAAATACAATGCAACAACAGGAGCGCTTAAATTCGCTTGCCATGTTAAGCATTGAGAAAGAGATGATTTCTTCAATTGCAGACTTCAATGCTCGTGTTATCGATGTTTTCGCGAAAAACAAAAAGCGGAGGATGGATTTTTTGTACAAATAAACTACCGACCGAGCAAAAACCACACACTGATTACATTGGGTAAGTGCATTTTTGCATTAATTCTCTCATTTAAATTTGACGTTTTGTAACTTGCAAAGTGAACTCCAACTTCCAGTTGCCTAAAACTCAACTTTTTTAATAATGAATAAATTTTTTGTCACATATGTAACAACCGGGTAGTCTAAAGCACCACCGCTTGTCACTATTAATGAATTAAAGCAGCACTCACCCCAAAGGGTCCTGGAGTCCAGAAGGAACATCCATTCACCAGTACAAATAAAAATATTAAAAAAATTAAATTAAGAGAACAAAAATGATCCCTTAATAGCATATAGTGCAGAGCATAATGGCGCATTCGTTTGTAAAATTGTTTTAATTCGTATTTTATTTTTAAATGTCCGGAAGGCTTTCCTGATTATAAAAGTGTAGGATGACACTCGATATCTGTTGATGTTATTGTTTAAACAACGAAAAATTAATTAAGCCAGAAAAAAATGCATTTTTTGCAATGAATTAATTTTTTTATATTCTCTAGGATATTTCGAATAAAAAAAGTCGTATCTTTAACCCTTTAATTGTTATGAATGTTTTAAAATCCGAAATTGACAAAAATTCTAATTTTCTTGAATTAAATAATATACCTTAAAATTTAAAATGCTATAATTTTAAATTTTTTACCGAATATTCAAACTATAATAAACAAAATAACCTGAATAAATTTTCAAAATTTTGTTTGTTGTTATGTTTTTTTTTACGTTATAACAATATGCTTCCTACGCACGTGTGCTTTTAGAGAGAAGTACTTCTATCTCACTTCCAACTCATGTATAAGATGGGTAAGAGAAAGCCCGATGACGCGCTGAATCAATTTTTTGCTGTTTTTCAAAGGTAATAAGTTTAAAAAAATTATTATTAACATTTTTCATAACACTTTGTTATATTTGCCGATTAATAGTTTTGTATCATGTGATTTTTTTTACTTTTTCAGATACTTTTGATAACTTTTTTATTTATTAAAGTTAACAGAAACATTTATTTTTAACATTTATTTTTATTCATGAAAAAATTATTGTCAGATACTGCCTGAGAAGTAAAATCTTCTTCAACCTTTTTTTTTTTTCAATACGATAAAAAGGCCAAATGCACTTGTCGTGAGCCATGAAAATTTCTACCTGTTACAATGAACATAGTAGGCTTACTGGGGTTATAAAATTTTATGATTTCAAAAATATCCAAGCCTTTCTCCATTTAACAAAAATAAGGAAAAAAAATTTTTCCATGCACGTCGGATGCTTTGAAATTGCATACTTTACGAGCTTCGTTTCAGACTTATATTTGGAGGAATTCAAATCAATTTCAATATGAACCTTTAGATTTCTCTGGTTTTGGTTATGTTTTCTGTGATAACCAAATAAAGCCACTGTATTTAATTAACAAAACCGCCATTACCTGTATACCTTGTATATTGAAATGCATTAATATGGAGTTTTTGTTACCATGATTTTTTGACAGATGTTCTTCATTAATTCTGATTTCTTCAGTCTTGGGTTTTTGTTGTCATATTTCCATACCTATTTCTTTTTGAGTTTTTAATTTTTTTAGAATTTTTGGTAAATTCTTTGTATTTTCCAATAATAATGCCAATTATTACACATACGTTTCGATTGTTAAGGTGTCACACTTCGGGCCTTCGACGTTTCTCATATGGTAACTTGGAGGTGGATTGCAAAAATTCCGGAAATAGATACATTAAAAGGGCGCCCAATGAGTGTCAACATTGGTCAATCTATGCTAGTATTTCCCTCAGAAACTCAGTAAATAAAAAAGAAAAGAAAAACCTTAAATTTATGTTCCTTTATAATAAATTTATCCATTAAATATTTGCAATGTTTACTTTTTAAATTATTGTGAAAACTATGAACATACCTACTCAGTTCGTCATTTAGCAAATTTACAATTATTGTTCAAGAACTAAATATACAGCTTATAATAAATTCATAACTGAAAACCTAAAGGAAGTAACAAATTAAATAGTATATGTCATACACATAAACCTAGAAAGAATAATAAATCCGTCAATAGAAGGCACGGTAAGTCGTTTGCATTGGTACCAAGGCGATGGACAACCTGTGCAAAATAGTTAATAGGTTGTCATAAAATATATTTTATCTTAAGAAAAATGTAAGGGTTCTATGTTTTAAATGTAAGAGTTCTATGTTTTTCACATATGTTCCTAATTTCTAATTGGAGCTAATCTGTAAACTAAGTAAGCAAATAAATAAATAATTTGTTACGTAACCCATAAAATAAGAAGAAAGATATACGTTTATTTATTTTTATTGGACTTGTCCTTTTGTCATTGATAAGATTTTTGGTTCTGGCAGCACAAAAGTTCAGTAAGAACTTATTACACAAGGTTAGACAGTAATTGTTTATAAATAGAAAGAGATAGCTACTTGTGTTCTATATTTTTAAAGATATGTCAATGAATGTATTACCTTGATAATGACTTTCTATTGAATGTGTGATTTAGATTTACTTTTTTTTATTTGAATTTTTTGACTGCAAGTCCATTCGCCAAATCACATAGATTATATATCTTAGTTTTATACCATATAGTAAGGATAATACGCCCACGTATAGTTTTACAAATTAATTTTATTTACATTATAATAATGTTTATACAGTATTTACAAGGTACATAGGTTTTTTACCAACTTACAACTTCGTTTTATTTTTTCTTTGAATTTTTTAGTTAATCTTTTAATCTTTTTTATTTTGGGTCTTTATAAGCAATTTTGACAAACAAGAGGACCACTAGATTTACATTTAAATTAACATATTTTCTTTTATTAATAGTTTTTTCTGTTTTTAATTCATAGAGGAAGGCGAATTCATATATTCCAGATTTTCAAATTGAATCTATTGTAATTTGTACTTTGAAGAGCCCAGAAGAATGTAATAATGTTTTCAAAATTAATCAAATCAGATTTTACAATTTTATACACTAATTCGTAGCATCTGTAAAAATTAAGAAGTTTTGTGAAAGATCTTAGACAATCAATTTTGACATGAAAAATGGCAATAAAATTGCTTAAATATTTTATGTATAAGACGGACCATTTTAAAATAGTTTTGTATAAAAATAAATTTTACTCTCTAAATTTAGAAAAATACGTTAGATATGCCGATACTTTATTGAATTTTTTTATTTTCTTTTTTGTTGCGACATGTAACATACAATTCCAACGGAAAGTTGTATTCACTAGTGTTAATTTTTTCATTTACAGATTTGTATTCTTCTAAATCAAGATTGAAACATATCGATAGACATTTTAGTAAACGCTGCGTAGTTTGTAAATTTTGTGGAAAATTTATGAATAGAATAGAATTTTTGCGGCATTATTTTATTCATGCAGTGCGAAAGGTCGAAAAATCATTCAAGTGTGACGTTTGTTCCAAATTATTTAAGCTTAAATATGATTTACAGCATCATTTAATAATTCATACTAATGATAAACTATTCGAGTGTGACATTTGTAAAAAAAAGTTTAAGCGGAAGTTTGACTTAAATATACATTTAATAATTCACACCAGCCGAAAACCGTTCAAATGTGACATTTGTTCCAAACAATTTAAAACTGAATCGAAATTAAGTGATCATTTTATAATTCACAGTGATGAAAAACCATTTAAATTTAATGTTAAATCGAATTTGAAACAACATTTATCAATTCACACTAATGAAAAACCATTTGAATGTGATATTTGTTTAAAAAAATTTAAACGGAAATTTATACTTAGCAAACATTTATTAATTCACACTAATGAAAAACGATTTAAGTGTGACATTTGTTCCAAAGGATTTGACCGCAAATGTGTCTTACAGCGACATTTAATTGTGCATACTAATGAAAAGCCATTCAAGTGTGGCATTTGCTCAAACAAATTTAAACGAAATTCTGACTTACGCACACATTTGTTAATTCACACTGCTGGCAAACTATTTAAGTGTGACATTTGTTCCAAAGAATTTAACCGAAAATTTTGCTTACAGCAACATTTAATAACACACACTGAAGAAAAACCATTTCAGTGTGACATTTGCTTCAAAAAATCTAAACGAAAAAATGACCTTCGTACACATTATTTGTTAATGCACACTGATATAAAGTCATTCAAGTGTGACATCTGTTCCGAACAATTTAATAGTAAATCTCGTTTAAAGTCGCATTTAAAAATTCACACTAATTAAAAAATTATTGCTTCAAACTATTTAATACAAAATCGAACTTACATCGACCAACGGGTTGTAACTTAAGATAAGATTAAGGCCGATATTTTAGTCAGTGGCGGATTTGGGATTTATCCCAGAGTGGGAGTTGGGTGAAAGGAGGCGCTAAAATGACTTGTTTGTTGGCGATATAAATATATCATTTACGCGACTTAAATTAGCTAGATTTTTTGTTATTTTTATTAAGTGCGAAGCAAATTATTTTTAAACAAATTAGATTTGGATAATTTATTTAAATTAAATCTACTTGTTAGATTTTATTAATTAATAAGTCAAATAATTATTTAGTTACCAAGTAATTACTGATAAACACAATGCCAACAGTAACAACAGCTGATCACACTAGACAATCAACGCGACTCAAATCGTTCTGCCTGGAGGAGCGCTGACGACGGTCCGCTACTACCACCTCAGTTCCCCGCACTCCCCGCTATTGACTGCCGATGTTCTTTACTGTACTACAATTAACACAAATTTGTTTATCTGCTAACATAATTTACTATTTAACAGACATTTTTTTTATCTAAAATAACAAAATCAAGTCATCTTTTTAGTTCAAGAAGATAAAAATATGATCATCTATAAAAAATTGGTTATATTCTTCACTTAGATTTATACTTGAATTTCGAAAATTTCATCTATACATAAA